AAAAAAAAAAAAAAAAAAAAAAAAAAAAAAAAAAAAAAAAGCCCGTGCTGCCCGTGGCGGCGGCGGCCGAGCTGCCCGCGGTGCCCGCGAAGCCCGGGACCCCGGCGGGCGGCGGCCCCGGCGAGCTGGCCAAGTACGGGCTGCCGGGGCTGGCGCAGCTCAAGAGCCGCGAGTCGTACGTGCTGTGCTACGACCCGCGCACCCGCTGCGCGCTCTGGGTGGTCGAGCAGCTGCGGCCCGAGCGGCTCTGCGGCGACGGCGACCGCCGCTCGTGCGACTTCCGCGAGGACGACTCGGTGCACGCGTACCACCGCGCCACCAACGCCGACTACCGCGGCAGCGGCTTCGACCGCGGCCACCTCGCCGCCGCCGCCAACCACCGCTGGAGCCAGAAGGCCATGGACGACACCTTCTACCTGAGCAACGTCGCGCCCCAGGTAGCGCCCGCGCCCCGCCCCGCCCTCGCCTCGCCTTTCGAGCGGGGGAGCTGCCGAGTGCGCGCTCGGCTCAGGCGCCTGGCTGCTCACCCCGCGCGCCCCAGGCGGGAGGCACCGAGCACGGGGGCGCCCAGCACCCGCTCTGCAGTCTGACCCTAACTGTGGGCCTCTGGGCACCTCCCTGGGCTTCGGTTTTCTCGCAGTAGCGCCGAGGAACCGAAGACAGTGCAAACAAGAGTATTGAGCACGCTTCCTGGTCCATGGCAAGCAGTACTATCTGTAATGAGGGAACTGAGGCACAGAGAGGCAAAGCGACTGGCCCACTGTCACACAGCAGGAGACCCAGGCAGTCTGTCTGGAGGAACCTGGGTTTTCAGCCATTGTCCCTACCCTGCGAGCCTTACAGGAGTCTAAGGAAAATAACTAGCATAGTCAGGGGTTAGCAGTCACTGTGTGCCCTGCCTCTAGGCCTGTTCCTAGCGGGGCCTGGAGACTTGACCTGGGGCTCTCCGTGAAGCCCCTGGGGTCTGAGCCTCCCTTCTGACTTCTGCTTTTTTAGGGCCGCAGTCCCCTGCTCATTTAGGACATTGGCGAGCTCAAGGGACGGAGTCAGGAGCAATCCATGACTTCCAGCCAGGCTTTGCATGTGGTTCAAACTGGCAAAGGAGCGGGTAGGGTTGGAGAACTGGCCTTCCCAGGAGCCCCTGGGGACTGGCCGGGAGGCTTGTTTCTCTGAAGAGGGAGAAGTGCCCCTTTCCTTAGCAGAGCCCTTTGCAGCTGAGAAGCATTTCTGATCCTGGGATGCTGGTTGTCCCATTCCAGACGGGGGCAGGCTGGCACCCCCCCCCCCCCCCCCGGGGCCCTTCCCGGGCCCCCCCTCATGGCCAGGTGGCCTCAAGGAATCTCTCCTTCCTTGAACCTCATTTTCCTCAGCATGCTTGCCCACCCCACTCCCCGCTGGACTGTCCCAGCCTGGTGTCAGTTCCCGCCCCGACAGTGGGGGAAGGGCCCCAGCCCCAGCCTCTGAGCCCCACGTCTCCAACCAGGTGCCCCACCTCAACCAGAATGCTTGGAACAACCTGGAAAAGTACAGCCGCAGCTTGACCCGCACCTACCAAAATGTCTATGTGTGCACAGGGCCGCTCTTCCTGCCCAGGTAAGGCTAGAGCTGGAGTGGGGGCTGGGGATGCCAGGGCCTCCCGTTCCCTAGAGGCCCCTTCCTGCCACTCTCACCATTCAGGCTTGCCTCAGCCCCTGGGTCCACGCTCAGTGCCAGGTCACGTTATCTGGTTTCTTCACAAGCCTGTCCGTTCCCTACTTTAGGCCCCCTAATTCCACTTCTACAGCCAGAGACCTGTTGGGTACCCACCTAGACCGTGTCTCCTCTGTGCATGGCACCAGGCCCCAAATCTGCCTCTGTTCCTCTCTCCTACCTCACCTCTTGCCATGCGCACCTGACTCCGTTCTACCCAGATAGAAAAGTCTTCGTCAGGTCAGGCTCTTGCCTTCGGTCTCCTCTGCTTGGAACAATCCTCCTCACCCTCCTCACCCTGGAGCCAGGGTTAGAACTCCCTCTCCCTGATCCTGAGCCTCCACTCTGGGCCCTCTGTAGCCCTGCCTCCCAGGTGGAAGGGACTGAGCTCCTCTGGGCATGCTCAGTGATTTTCCTGGCGTACTGAAGATCGAGATAGAGGCAAAAGGTTACAGCAAGGCCCACAGGCCTGAAAAGGAATCCAGGGCCTAGCACCTGATCTCTAGAGGAGTGGGCAAGTGACTTCAATATCCTCTCCTGTAAAATGGGGATAATAGCCACTACCTACCTCGTGGTTGCTTAGGAGTCAAGGGGGGGGGGGGGGGATGGGCACTGCAAGTGCCTTCGACGGCCTGCTGACACGGGGAAGACCGGAAGTCACCCGGCCAGTGTTCCGGACACCAGTGCCTGTGCTGGCACAGGGGATTCAGGGCTCGTGGGCCTTGCCCACTTGGTGCTTGCCCTCCACAGGGGTAGGTAGAGCGTAAGCATGTGTCTGCAGGAGGGAAGGTGAATGTCCACAAGGCCCGATTCTCTGAGTAACGTTTACTGCTGTCACCCGTCTTGCCTGACCCAGTGCTGGGCACGAGGAAAACAGGGTAGGAGAGTGTTCACCCTGCAGGGAGATCCCAGCCTCCTGGGGAGCCAAGAAGGGCACGGAAGCCTCGCGCTGAGGTGGCAGTCCTACAGGCTGACACAAGTTGAAGTCAGGTCAGGGCAGCAGCCGTGGGTCCGACCAGATGCCCTGGGAGCCCTGAAAGGCCATGTGTGCCCGGCTCTGCCCGCAGGACGGAGGCTGACGGGAAGTCCTATGTGAAGTATCAGGTCATCGGGAAGAACCACGTGGCAGTGCCCACCCACTTCTTCAAGGTGCTGATCCTGGAGGCCGCAGGCGGGCAAATCGAACTCCGCTCCTACGTGATGCCCAACGCTCCCGTGGACGAGGCGGTTCCGCTGGAGCGCTTCCTGGTGCCCATTGAGAGCATTGAGCGGGCCTCGGGGCTGCTCTTCGTGCCAAATATTCTGGCACGGGCAGGCAGCCTAAAGGCCGTCACTGCAGGCAGCAAGTGAAGGCCACAGCCCTGCCAGACTGCGGGGACGGGGCTGCATTAAAGGTGGTGATTTCTGGAGACAAGTCACGGCTGTGTCTGTCCTGGGGGAACCCCAGGAACCTCTGGCTTCCCTGCTGCTGCTTTGCTGTCGTAGGCCTGACGGGCCCCCGCCTGGGTGAGGCCAGGCTGCAGGGCGGCCAGGGAAATGAGGATGGCTTCCTGGAGAGGAAAGCAACAGGCTGGGGCCCGGGAGGCTGGAGGGAGCCCGGCCCCCAGCCTCACAGTGCCCAACCCCCCAGGGCCTGCTGCCCTCAGCAGAGCCCCGAGGAAGTTCAGAGCAAGCTCAGCTTCACCCTGCTGATCTGACCCCGGCTGGCTGCATGCCCCACCAGGGAAGGGCCTTGCCTCTCTGTTCCTCAGTGTCTCCCTCTAAAGAGAGGATGGTCAGAATAATACCTGCCTCCCAGGGTCAGGATTAGCGGAGGCAACAGGCAGTTCTCAGCCCCTGGTACAGGGTGGGTGTGGGGGGTTCCTGCTGGGAGGGTGTGGCCCCTGCAGGACCCCTGGGGACAGACTGGGGCAGTCCACCTGTGTACTCCCCACCCTTTGACAGTAATGGAAGCCAAGTGCCTACAGTGTGCTGCCTGTGCTGGCCTCACAAGTGGGCCCACGGGTTCCACAGATGCTCAGGACTGAGGCTCCCAGAGCTAGCTACACACTGCACCCCACAGGACTGAGGTGCCAGTGAGGCCCAGTGGGAAGGACCGCCCTGCCCACCACCGTCATGCGTGAGGAAGTGCAACACAGAGAGTACAGCTGGGGAAACCGAGGCCCAGGGTGGGGGTGGCCAGGGTCTCCTGGGTCACCCAGCCTACGAGCTGGTCCAGCAGCTGGAGGGCCACGAGCACCCAGGGTTCTTGACTCCCTGCTCACTCATACGCGGTCCCTGCTGGAATCTGCTGTGGCCAGATTGAGGTAGTGAGGAATCCATCTCCAGGGCAGGCTGGCTCGAGACAGCCTTGAGCAGGGTGGGCGGGGGAGAGCCGCACTCCCGTTGGACACACCCCTGGCTGGTGGCAGAACCTGGAGGACGGCCTGGGGCTACAGCAGGGAGGCAGACGGGCTCACCTCGGTGCGGATGGTGCGGCTGCCCTGGCCGGGGCACGTGTTGACATACAGATCAAAGAGGACGCTGGGTTCAGCCACCTCCAGGTTGGGGTCCGCATCCACTCCAGCTTCCAGCCCCTGGAGGCCCCCGAACACCACGAGAGCATGCCTGTGCCCATAAGAGGGGATCAGTGACTGCTCGCTGAGGTCACACTGCATGCAGCTCCCCAGAGCACTCAGTCCCCACCTCCTGGTATGCAGTAGGGGCTCAGCCCGTAGAGCTCTGCCCATCACCCCGCGCCCCCCCCCCCCCCCCCGGGGGGGGCGGGGGGCCCCCCCCCCCCCCCCCACCCCCCCCCCCCCCCCCCCCCCCAGACTGTTTCCGGCTTCCCTGGCCCCTGCCCCAGGCTATACCCACCTGAAGCTGGGAAGCTGGGCAGACGCCACATCTGAGCCTCTCTCTGATGTCCCAATGGTCAGGTCATACCCGTCCTGGAAGGGAGCCTCAGCAAACACGGCACCTGGGGGAGAGACCCACATAGCCACTTAGCTATGTGTATATGTATACCTGGGGGAGGGATGCAGAAGGGGACTCAGGCACGGGAGGCACACCCAGGCCTTCCAGTGTTCCTGGGAAGTCCAGGAGACCATGCCTGTGCTAGACTGGGGAAACCAAGTGGAGGGTGGGGACGAAGGAGCTCTGAGAACTCCTATCTGTCCTTATGTCCTATTCCCAGCCCCACGGCAGACATTACTAATCGATCACAATCCTTTCTCTCAGAAGTCCTTCACAATATTCCAGGCAGCGCACTCAGGGAGACGGAGGCCCAGAGAAGGAAAGGCATTTGCCTATGGTCACACAGTAAGGTGGTAGGACAAAGCCCCTACTCTGCCTTTTGGGTCAGGCAAGGCTCTGTAGCCTCCCAGAGAGAGGCCAGATATTCAAAGGAGGAAACTCCGTCCTTACTGAGGCAGGAAGCCAGCCGGACTGTGTAGCCCCAGTAGAGACCGGCTTTGGTGCGAGGGTCCTGCGAAGACACGACTTTCCCCCGGTAGGTCTTGCTTTCTGCAGATGAAGTGGAGAGGCTGTGAAGATGGGGTGAGGGACAAGGAGGTGGAAGGAGGCGGCTCCGAGCCCAAATGCTGGCCAAGCTGGGAAGCTTCCAGATACCTGGGAGCTGCTTCTGGTTCAGCTGCACCGTCACCCGAAGTCCAGGCTCCAAGTTCTTGTCAATCTTCACCTCCTAGGGAGAAGCCAGGAGAAATGGGTGCTATTCCCCAAAGGACCAGCAGGGGTCACTGCTCTCCCCGATGTGGGGGGCATGGGGGCGGGGGCTGGCCAGGTACCTAAGGGATCCAGGTCAACCTCCATTCCCTTTCTCTGGCACCTGCACCAGACCTGCTCACAAGAGACCATTCGTGCAAGATGACTATCCCAGGGCACTGGGCAGAGATGAATGCTCTGGGCCTGGCACAGAGTAGGCAGTGTTTCGTGAGATGAGATCCCAGTCTTTGCTTTGAACAGAAGTGGCCATGCCACTTACTAGCTGTAGCAGTTTGAGCGGGCCACATAGCCTCTCTGAGCCTCGCTCTCTTCATCTGTCAATCAGGAAACTCTCCATAAACAGCAGCTACTGCTATACTGCCCAGGGCCGGGCATGAGGTAAATGGGAGATGTGATGGAGAACAACTGATGTCTGCGTCTCATGCCAATTCTGAATTCAGGACACGGGGCACTTTCTTTCCCTTTAGACGCTTCTCGTGTTTTCTCCTTTCGTCTGTGGTCAGGGTCTGGGTCATCCTGGTCTGCTCTTTTTGCGGGGAGAGGGGACCCCACACATGGAAGTGTTTCTGCCTCTGACTCCAGGAGAATTGAGCGTAGCCAGGCGGCCCAGGGTGGGTCTGCATCCTCGCTGGAGCTGCCCCAGAGGGATTCTGGACTCGCTGCTGCAGGGTTGGGCTGGGCTGGGTTTGAGCATGAGAACTATCTCCTGTTCATTTAGTTTTCAAGAAACAGTCGATCTGTTCCTGGCTTTATCTACTGAGCCCTGTTGCGGGGCACTTCTCTGGCCGAAACCTGCATCAGTGGAGGAAGACCAGGCACAGATGCCTGGGTCCAGGGCTCCCCACTGCCTTCCATAGCCAGGGTATGTCCCCAATGTATGTCTCAACCCACCCTCCCAATTCCTACCTTCTTCATGCCACAGTTGACAAAGGACCCGTGGCCTGGCCGGGTGGGCCGGTCCACCACGATGCCTTCTCTGAACTCGGATTCCTCATCCTGACGCATGTGGTGAGGGCTGTCCAAGGGGTTCAGAAGCCCTGTGGGTAGAAGGGGTGCAAAAGCACACGGCGGTATGGAGTTCCAAGCCTCAGGTCTGCCACAGACCTGCCGCTTGCCACCACGCACAGGCCTTGCCCTGCCTGGGCCCGTTCTCCCACCGGCACAGCAATTTCTCGGGGCCTGGGGGGTGATCCATGGGAAATGGGGGTCAGCCCCCACTCCGGCCTTACCTGCAAACTGGAGATCCTGGTGCTTGGGGAAGAACGCCTTTCTTAGGTACCTAGCAAAGAACGCAGATCTCAGAAAGTTCCCAGGGGAGGCCACCTCCTGCCTGACCTGCACCTTCACCACCCTGCCCCACCCCACCACGCGCAGGCCAGTCTGCCCTTCACCCCCTTACTGCGGACACTCCAGGTACTGCAGGATCCGGGCCAGCTGCACGCACGCCTGCCCCTTCTTGCCAACGCCCCTGAATTCACCCTCCACAGTCCTGGAGAGAGAAAGACAGGCCTTCCAGAGCCTACTGCCCTCCCTTCGAGAGCTCTTCCACCCAGTCTGACCTCTGTGGTCCCCTGCTTTGCGACTCTTCCCGCCAGATTCACTGGGGGCATTTCAGACATTTCTCAGCCCAGGCAAGCAGGAGGCAAAAAGAATGCAGCAAAGCCAGTCCTAGCAGCCCCTCCCTCCTCCCTGAGCCCGGGTGCCCTGTTGGATGGCTCCTCACTTGGCATCTTGGCCTTCTTCATCAAACACCACAATCTCATCCACACAGAAGATGGTGCAGGCTCTGGCAATCTGGCCAGCCAGGTAGGTGCGAAGCTCCGGTGACTGGGCGTTGTCCAGGATGGAGCCTGGCAGGGCCACGCTCAGGGTGTAAGGCCGACCTGGGCAGGGGAAGGTTGTTCGTGGTCAGAGGGGCCAGGGCTGTGCTCTCCCTTCACTTCCTCTCATCCCAGGGCTCAGAGTTAGACAATTTTCCCTCTGGGAGGAATTTTGAGGTCAGCAAATCAGATCCAACTCCCCTTTCCAGGCCTGGGTAAGACTGGGGGAGTGGTTAGAGACATTGGCCTAAGTTCATATGTTGGCCCCGCCCCTTACCGCCTCCATTACCAGCTGTCAAATGGGGATAATAAAGAGAGCTATTATTTGCATCTTTATATGTGTGCATTTACCCAGTAACCCTGAAAAGTATTACCATGACACCCATCAAGACATGGAGAACCTGTGGCCCAAGGTCACACAAAAAGCAAGACAGCGAGATCTGGGTTCAGGCTGTCTAGCTCTAGAGGGACCACCATACTTTCCCTCCCGCAGTCGTCCAATGGGAGCCACAGGAGGGAACACCCATGAAGGGCTTCCCTGGTGTGTAAAACAGCTGACATGCTCAGTTTCTGTCTCCACTGTCACCGTCACCACTGGTCACCAATGGGCTTAGAGGTTATGATGCCCTAACCCTCCTGAGGTTTGGGTCTAGACGAGGAGAAAAGACACAATTTGTTAGGGTAGATCCAGATGTACCGATGTGCAAGGACACCCAGGGTTCAATGTGGGATGAGAAAAACCAGGTCCAGAAGCTCACGGATAAAGTGGTCTCACTTTATAAAACTGTATCTGTATGTTCTCTGCATACGTATAAGTGGGTACAACATAATATCTGGAGAAACTTTCACTGCAACGTTTGCTGGAA